GAAAACTTAAGGCTGTCATTAGGAATCTCTCTATATGCGAACAGGGCAGCAGGTATAAAGCGATCCCAGTCTCTCGGGTGATCGGCACAAAGCTTTTTAATCATGGATTTTAACATCCCATTTAGCCTTTCAACTGCACCGTTACACGAAACATGGTAGGGACTCGTGTACAAGGCTTTTACAGAGAGTAATCTATGGATTTCACCCATTAAATCCGACTTAGATTGAGACACTGTGATCGTGTCAATATTTTGTAAGGCAACAGCTTCGGGGTACCTTGTCACATAGTCTATTAGAGTGAGAACATACTTATTTCCTCTCTCAGAGGCTGGTGTAAAAGGACCCACTATGTCTATAGCTACACGTGAGAATGGCTCTGAAATTATGGGGAGGTTTTTCATTGGTACTCTTCTCACACTTCCTTTAGATGAAAACTTCTGACAGGTTGGACATGGTCGACAATACCTTCTAATCTGAGCACCTGCACCGGGCCGAAAGAACTTTGAAAATATTTTATAACTCGTATTTCTGTGTGAGAAAGGACTAGCTGTAAGTGGAATCGTGTGCAAGATTCAGTACGTGAATCCGATACTTCTCGGGAATCATCCAGTCGATGAGTGTATTATGGTATTGAGACTGAAGCTTTCATTTGGCTTCATGTCTCTTATTGCTGTATGCGCTCCTACGGATGTATATAAACTTGAGGTGAAAGAGATGTTTTACGCCAAATTTGCATCTGTGGCAGACAGTTGTCCTCGGCGATATATTCATATTGTTCTGGGTGACTTCAATGCGGTATCTGGCTGTGATCGAGCTGGCTACGAGATGTCTGTCGGTCCTCATGGCTCAGGAGCTGATGCTGGCAGTGAGAATAGCTTCCTTTTCCATGACTTTGCTAGGTCCCAGAAAATGAGGATCTCTGGCTCAGGGTATCAGCGTTCTGACCCACATCGCTGGACTTGGTACAGCGATACGGGTAGTGTAGCCAAGGCGATCGACCACATCCTCGTTAGCACTCGGTGGAGGATCCTCCAGAACTGCAGTGTGTATTGAAGTGCCGAATTCTGTGGAACTGATCATAGATTAGTCGTGGCTACTCTCCGGATCCACTTTAGAAACCCCCGTCACCCAAATGAACACCATAGGGTGTTTCATCTGGATAAACTGAAGGAGGACGAATGTGCCCGGGGGTATGCCAAAGCTATCTTTGGTCGTCTCACAGTACTCGAGGGCCTGACTTTCAAGCGTGAAACGCTTGATACAGCTCAAGAATCCATTGAGCGCCCAAGAGCAAGACAGAATTCCATCGCAGGAGACACTGGAAGCCACAGATGCCTGTCGCATGGCTCGATTGTCAGGGGATCGCAACTTGCACCATTCTCTGGTACACAGGACGGGATAAAGAACCGTTTATCAGTAATCTTGCAGAGGAGGTCGAAAGCCATTTCTTAGTAAATGACCTTCGTCCTGCCTACCAAGCCCTGAGAAAGCTGAACTCCAAGCCCTCCTCACAGACGACTGCAGTCCGCTCAGCAAGTGGCCAAATAATCTCAGATCCTGATGGGGTGCGTGTACGTTGGGCTGAGTATTTTGAGCAGTTGTATCAGGCTGATCCACCAGCAGTTAACTTGGATGCGGGTAATGTTGAGATTCCTCTGCCAGACCCACCCATCAGAGAGAATCCACCCTCCCTGACTGAAGTCAAGGGGGCTATCTCCAAGCTGAAGAGTGGTAAAGCAGCAGGTGTTTGTGGCATCCCAGCTGAATTGTTACAGGCTGGTGGAGAACCTATGACAAGGGGCTTGCATGCAGTGCAGTCTGCCATCTGGCAGACCGGTACCATTCCCCCTGACCTGCTGAGAGGTGTGACAATCCCTCTCTGGAAAGGGAAAGGAAATCGGTAGGACTGCAGCAATCACCGAGGCATTACAGTACTCAGTTTACCAGGCGCACATCTTACTGAGACGTATCAGAGACCACCTGCTGAAGCACCAAAGACCGGAGCAATCGGGATTCATTTCTGGAAAGTCCACAATAGACCGCATCCTGGCGCTTTGAGTCATCGTAGAGCGCCGTCGTGAGTTCGGGCGTGGGCTTCTCGCAGCCTACATCGACCTCAAGAAGGCATTTGATAAGGTGCATCACGAATCACTCTGGGAGATCCTGAAGCTAAGAGGAATTCCAACAAGGATTGTTGGACTAATATCAAACCTGTATACAGGCACTGAAAGTGCTGTAAAGTGTGGTGGGGGCCTGTCGAGCTTCTTTCCTGTTAGTTCAGGCGCGAGCAAAGGCTGTGTTCTTGCACCAACACTTTTCAACACTTGCATGGATTGGATACTGGGTAGAGCTTCTGTCCAAAGTCACAACTCTGGGCAATATCAAGAGCAACTCTGGGCAATATCAAGGTTACTGACCTTGACTTTGCTGATAATGTTGCCATTCTTTCTGAATCTCTGGATTCAGAAAGTCGCGCCCTTGATGCATTTAGCAATGAAGCGAAGCCCCTGGGGCTAGAGGTCTCCTGGACCAAGACCAAGATCCAGGATTTTGGGGGCCTACTAAGAGACCCTGTGCAGTCGGTACAT